AATATATACACCAATCAAGTGACAACCATTGAAAAGTTTATGGAAAGCGAATGAACACTGAGCAATTTAGAAATATACAATTTACTATACCACAATCACGAAATAAACAAGCCTGTACCAACTGTCAAGAAAAGAAGAAACGTTGTGAACTATATAATACCAAGTGTAAATACTGTTACTAACGAGGATTAGATTGTACCTATAATACGCCAAATAGGCGAGAACCAACACCAAAATTAAATGTCAAACGAACAACAAATACAAAACCATATTAACGACCTCAAGGATATACTTAATGATTTAACAACTGAACAACTACACAACTTTGAAATAAATAGCAAGGAAGAATTTTGCAAATTCTGAAAAAGCTCAAGTTTATCACATAGAAATAAGCCAATCAGAAAATGGTCCTTATGCACATGACACTATGTTGATTAGATTATCGATGAACTCGTGAATGTTCTCGAATTTTTTAAATATTACTTACTTTCTATTTTTTATAAATATTTTTTCCCTTTGGTACTTTCTTGTACAAATAGATCTTAACGTCCTTTCTTGAATTAAAACTCACCAGACTCTTTGCAGTGTGTACACCTTTCTAAAAAATACGTACAAGCTCTTATTTGTACTGGCTCATAGTTGGAAGTTTCGAAATTAATACTTTTAAAAATCTGTTTTATTTTATTTTTTAACCAATTTTTTTTTAGATTTTTTTTTTTCCTTTAAAAAAACTAGAAAAACGGTGACATTTTGTGGGCTGGAGCTCTAATTCTTAGGTCTTGCACTTTAAAATAGTATCTACATTTTATAAATTGCCATTATTTATAAAACAAGATTTTGATATCCAAATGGTTGGGTCAAGTGAAGTGAGAGCCAGACATTTTCTAATAATTAGTAGAGTAAGATTTAAGATTCGATGACAGACATTCTAGTAGAGTAAGGCTTACGATTTGATGTCAGATTTATGATGAGATTTAAATAAGCCATACAAACATTAACAACTCCAAAAATTCTTTAATAGATTGAAATTGGTTTGCAAAACTCATCTGTACGGGTTATCACATGATATTTCAATCGAGTATATTCAGAACTTTTCTTATTTAAGCATTATCAATCAATATCGATATATTAATTAATTTCTTGTTTAAATTTTTATTCATATACATAAATTAATAGGCGGAAAGTAGTTTTAACCAGAAGTAGGTTTATTATCGCAATGAAAAAAACGTCATGAATCTTCAGCAAAATTACAGTAAGGATCGCTTCAATTATCGCCGTTTGCAACTTTGATCAAATTTGTAGATTGCCACATACTCAATTGTCGATTGTATGTGATTGTACATAATTTTATGCGATTTCTCAAATTTTTAAATTCTGTGGATCTACAGAATTCGAATAAAAAAAAATTTTATTGAATTTGATCAGATGGTTACTAAAATATCTTCGCTCAAACTTTAGGAAAATTTGATGCAATTTCTATTCCTGACATTTTAAAAAAAAAACTTTGAGCAATGATATCTCAGCAACCACCTGATTAAATTCGATGGATTTTTTTTATTTGAATTCAATAGATTCATAAAATTCAAATAAAAAAATATAATCAGATGATTGTCAAGAAATCACATAAAATTATGTACAATCACGTACAATCGACAATCAAGCATGCAGCGATCTACAAATTTGATCAAAGTTAGCAATAATTATACAATATTGGTAGCTAGCTAGTCACATTGAGAGCATCCTTAGTTTCTAAGTTTAGCAATTATTTATATTTAATATGAGCAGTTCACGTCTCATTTAGCTTTTTATCCAAATTAGTCCGTATAATTATTATCTGCCATGAATATATACAGATTAGAATTAGTATGACCAGATCCTATTTTTAATATTTGTTCTGGCGGTATGTATTATTAGGGTAAGCATTAGAAAACTATAGTAGATTGGCTTTTAAAGAGGTATTTTGCACTCTACATATACTTTATACGTACATCTTAAAACCTTATGAAATTTCTTGCTTGCTTAAATTATAGCATTTCATATTAATATTGTTGTATTTAGTTGTGTATCCATATCTAAATTCTGTATTGTTCTAAATTAGGCTTACATTCATTTGTTCCTGGTTTAGCGTGAAAATGTCACGCAGATACTTATTTTTTAAAATAAAATTTTAAAAAACTATACTGATCCGCTTTATGTAAACTTATACCAGACTGATTATACCATTATCTAATTCTTCGCATATCTTTGTAAATTAGCTAATGTTATTTTATGAGGGTTGCTTTATCTTATGATTATCAAATGAATTTTTATTAGTTGACTATATTAAAAAAAAAAATAAAAAAATCTTCAATCCTGACTTTGTTGATGTGGACGGGATATGAAAACCAATTATATAAATTTATATGGCCTTATTGATTTGTGCTCGGGTCTTTTATAAAATACTACAACAAACAATTTTGAAATATGCCTGGTACAAATCAAGTAAAGTATAAATCAAGAGGGTATCTTGCATTGCGTTTTATGATATATTGACCGGCCCAAGATTTTTTAGGATTAACTCTGGCCTATAATTTTTTTATTGGCCCTTATTACTATATATAGTACATAAAAGTGTGTAAGTTAGTAATTATTAGGATAAATGGATATCCAGTTATGATCTCTAATTTTGGCGTAGTATTAATTGTTACGATCACATACGTATGTATATATGTATACATATAAGTACATACATACAAGATGCTTATTATTGAGTTGTGTTATACATATTATGCATAATTAAATAATTATTCTATATAACAGTCTTAGAAAATAGAAAATATATTTGTTAGTGATTTGCTTTTAAAAACAATTATAAATATATAAATTTTGATTTTAATAAATTAATAAATCTTTATTTTTAAAATTTTAATCCTATAATTAAAATTCTTTTAATAAAATTATTTGCTTAGGCAATTGCTTTATAATATCTTTAATTTTTTAAAATTATATACACAAATTTTTTTAAAAAAATGTCTCAACAATTTGTTCAATTTGTTTAAAAGATATTTCAAATTATAGAAGTATTACAAATAATCTTAAATTTAAAATTGATAATTGTCCTGATAAAGAACATTATCAAAAACTTAGACTCAATATTGATAAACTATGTTCTAGTTGTTATATGAAAATTATAAATTCTTATCAACGTCAAATTTCTATTATAGATTTAATGGAAACTAGCAGATCTAATACTCCTACAAATTTAATAGTAACTAGTAATTTAGTAAATTTAGTAGAATTAATTGAAACTTAAAAAGAAGAATTAATTTATCAAAATAAATTAAATAAAATTAATCAACAAATTACAGATATTAAAATTAATATAACTGATAATACAATTTCAATGGATAAAGAAAATTTTAATCAATTAATTAAATTAATTCTTCAGAAAGATTTAAAAATAGAAACATTAAATAATCAAAATAATCAAGTTCAAAAATATTCATTTTCTCAGCAAATAGAATTATTATCAGCTGTATTATTAAAATATCAAAATGAAAATAATGAATATTTATTAGATCCTAAACAATTTCAACAAATGATTGAACAAAATGAACCAAAATTAAAAGGATTTTTTGATGAAATAATTAATGCTCTAATTTCAAAAAGAAGACTTATCAAAAATAGAGAAAAAGCAATAAAACAAATAGTTGTATATTGTTATCTTTTAGTTGGAATAAGAAACAAATTTGTTAAAAATTTTAAATTAGATCTTGGACTTTATTTATATTCATCAGGAATGACTCAAGCTGGAATTAATACTTTATCCTTAGTGTTTATACAAAAACAATTCAAAGATATAAAAAAAATATTGCAAAAGCACATTTAACAAAACTTAATGAATATTTTAATTTAAATGTAAGTTATTTTTATTTTTTATTTTTTTAATTTTATATTTAAATTTATTAATTAATATAATATAATTATTATTTAGTCAAATATTTTTTATTGTTTTAATATTGATAATTTTCATGATATTCATGGAATTCGAAGGCCAAATACAACAACACTTAGTTCAGTAAATCATATAGCAACATGTATAGCAAAACCAATTATTAACACATTATTAGCTCCAGCAATTTTAAATAATAATCGATTTAGAAATTGCACATTTTTTAATCCAGACAATATTGATAATAAAATATTTATATTCTAATATTTAAGGTATATTTGATATTAGTTATAATATACAAAAACTTGATTGGGTAAATAATAATAGTAATAATATACAATTTGAAAATCAAGATCAAATTGAATTACTTACAATTCATATATATGATGATGCTATAAATGAGCGTAAAGAAAAAAGATCAATGAAAAATCTTAAAATTGTTGGAGTACAAAAGCAAAATTTACATTCAACAAAGGATTATTTAGATGCATTAGAAATGATTACTTCAATAGAATCATTACAACAATATTTTAAAAATTATATTATACCAATAATTGCAGATTGGCCTGGACAATATTTTATTCGAAAAATTTTAACACATTATTATCAAAAAGTTAGTCCTATTGGTACAAGAAATTTTACTCTTTTAACAGTTCCTGAAAATATTAGTAATTTTATTTCAATTATTGGGCCCCTTCATATTTCATTAAATTTTCGTGAACAAGTAATTCTTGTTCATTATTCATTTTTTAAAAAATTTTTCATTATTTATTTGGTAATAAAAAAAAATTTGCAAAAAAACCTAAACCTTGGAGAATTAATTTATTACTTGAATTAATTTTTAATAGATGGAAACAAATATCACAAAAAATTTTATTAAAATTTAAAAATAATTGTAATGATATAGAATATAGAATGATATTGGATCTTTTAGATAATTTAGTACCTGCAACTTTAGATATATATGCAATTCTTTTTAGATCTGGGGCTTTTGATCAATATTTTAATACTTTATTTCGATTATGGATATTTGCATTATGATGGAATAGAAAAAATTATAACAAAGCACCATTAGCTTTTATATCAGATTATCTTTATTGGCAACAAATTAATCATCCTTTAGCAAATATTATACCAAAATCATTAGTTAATTTTAATGATTATTTTGTTAAAAATTTTCATAGTAGATTATGAGCAAATATTAATATTAATTATACTGCAGATAATATTATTGAACAATCATATTTATTAGATATACATGATAATCAATTATTTAATAATTTTCATACTAAAAAAACATATCCATATAAACCAAAACAATTAGATTATTTAACCAAAAAAAGTAGTTTATTTTTATTAGAACATTTTCAAAATATTTTTCAAAATATAGGAAAATGCAAAATAATTAAAACCAAAGATAATATTAGTTTTTTTATAGCAATACTAGATGAAACTCTTAATCTTAAATATTTGTCAACTGGTTATCATACAGCTCATTTACCATCATTAGATGCTTGTGATCATTGTACAATTCCAATTAGATATTCAACTGGTAAAACATAAATTTGTGGACATTCTTATCATGATGAATGTTATAATATTTTTAAAGCTTGTAAACATTGTTTAGAATATTATAAAAAAGAAATTTTTAAACAAGTTAAAGCATTTAAAAAAGGATTAGAAAAAACTGAAGATGAAAAAAATATTATAGAAACTGAAAATACAGATGAGAATGATGATAATAATTTAGATGAAGAAGAAAATAATAATGAAACAGAAGAAAATATAGATGATAAACTTCAAATAGCTATTAATACTATTGATCAATGGATAATTATAAAATAAATTAATAATTATTTATAATATTTTAAATTTTTTATTTAATAAATTTTAATATATAATAAATATATAAATTCCAATTTTAATAAAATAAATCGATATAAATTTTTTTTCTTTATCAAATTCTTGTAATATAATAAGTGCAAGCATAATCCTTTAAGTAATTAATCACATTATTATTTAAGATAAGTATATGATAATTATATGCATTTACGCTAAACGATTTTTTTTATTAAATAATATTATCATGTAATGAACATTATTGCATAACAAACATTATTGCATAACAAACATTATTGCATAACGAACATCGTTTTGTGACGAATATTACCAAAACATTATTGCATAGTGATATTTTTAAATAACCGACATTTTCTTTTCTAATCCTATAGATCAACTATACAATGTTAACAACAGCACCTAGAAAGAAGAAACTAGAAAAAAAAAAAAGGATCGTTAATAAGGCAAGTTGAAAAAGAAAAACAATCAACAATAAATCCGCCACCAAACCATACTACTTACCAAAAAGTGATAAACGATACCCACCAAAGCGCTTAATTATTATTAAGGGTAGAGGGTATGTAGATTATTTCTATTAATAAACTAGTTACTAAAAATTTTATATTTAATAATAAAGAAAATTTTTATTAATGTAACTATATTAA